TGATGAAGCCTTTGGAGGTTCAGATTTAACATTTGGTCCTAGACGTGTCTTCATTCCACAGCTTGTAGGTCTTTTGATGGGGCAGAGAAAATTTTTTTGATGAGGTGACAGACAAACATAGCTAGTGTTCATTTTGTAAAATAAATATTTTTTAAAATCTTTTTATTTTGCTTTTTAAGATTTTATAGCAAAATGTATATGAGGACAAACTGAAGCAGAGAAAGCAAGCAGCTTTTGGAGATGTTAAGCTGCTTCCAAACTATAATTGTGGAAATTTGATTACAGCTCAGATAGAAACATCATTAATAAAGATGGTTAGCAGTTATTAAGAATGTCAGAAAAGCTTGAAATTGAGTTGTTTTTCAGATCTTGCATTGTTAGAAAGAGGCTGTTTACATTTTATTCTGAAAACTATTGTAATTTAAAGTAAAATTAAAAATGAAAAAACTTAATAGAAGATAATGAATACATTTGAGAGAAATACTTCCTTTATATTACATTTATGATAGCTTTATGACACATGATAAGAGAAATTAGTGAATTACTAAATATTGGCAATATGCTTGGCAGTTTCACTTCTGTGTTGTGAAAGAAAAGCAGAAAGACCCTGGACTTAGTGAAACATTATGAGCATGGAATTACAGGGGTTTTTTGCATTGTGCTGCAGAAGTTAGAGCTCAGTGTTTCCCTCCCTGGGTGTGTCATGTACCTGCTTTTAATGTAATAGGTAATCGTTTTATGAGGCCACCAGATCCCACGAAGGATGCATTGTTGCTACCCTGACAGCCATTCTCGTATCCACCCTGCACTTAGAATGGTTTTTGTGTTCCTGAGAGCTTCAGGAATTGTGCCTGCTCACTTTTATATGACTTCTTGAGCCTTCTGAGTGGCGTGAGGAGGGCTATCTCCATATTTTTTTCCCTTCTCTGAAATTACCTCATTATCCTTGTGGTTTATATGAGAACTGAAAAGATGGGTAAGTAGTTTCCTTGAAATAGAAAGCTCAGACCCACATCAAAGAAGTTTCTAAGACATGAAAGTAGGAAAGGCAGCAGCCAAATCAACAGATAGCTCTAAAACAGATAACCAAGTAGAAACGTACTATACCAGAGCCTTAATTCTGAATACGGCTTGTTTATCTCAACTTCATTTTTACCAAAGTATCTTAATTTCTCTTTGACCAGTTAATTCCCAAGTTACAGGAAACTCTTTGAAGGAAATGATCAGAAACAGTAGTGATAATTTTTGTCCATCACCATGATATTTTAAGAACTTAGCCTTCATTGGGGACCCCACCCCCACCCCGCCGAAGTTTCTACAATGGATCTGTCATTGTTATAAGAAAAATACTTGAAGGTATTTTCTAAGCTACCTTTTCAATGAATATTAGTGTTAAACATTAGCAAAAAAAATTGATATGTTACTGGCTAGAGAATACCTACCAGAGTGCTTCTTTGCTGATGTTCTTTATCCAGATATTTGGTCTCTAATTCTACCATTGGACGCTATGAGTGAGGTCCTTGGCCTGAAGTGCCACCGAGGGGTGAAGCGGGGTGGGGATGGGAAGGGACTAGCCCCAGCTTCTCGTGCTGGTGAGAAAGAGGGACGAGACAGGGAACAGACTGGGAGTAGACCAGAGTACAGCAGGGACAAAAGGGGTAGAGAGACAGATGTACAAGTGGTGGGATCCATCAAAAGTCCCCAGTAATTTCAGATTCACTCAACTGGATTTTTTTTTTTTTTTTTGAGTAATATATATTTCCATGTGTCAACTTTATTCCGCCAATTCCTTTTTGGTAAGTATGTTTTTGGATAACTAACTGTTCTCTCTCTCACTTCTTTATTTATAGTTTTGAGTTCTCCAAATATTTCATCTTTCTCTTTTGTTGTTCACTATTTTTGTTAATCTTTTCATACCAACAAATTAAATTGTTTAAGTGTCTCTTGCAGCTAAGATTTAATTTTCCTTCTTGGGTATCTTGAAATTCTGCCTTGTGTTATTTTTACCTAATAGTGGCTTTTTCCATCAGCAGGAATGGAAGCAGTCAATAAAAATCAATTGCTGACTCAGTGACTCTACAGAGGGTTTACCATAATGCATATTGGAAATGACTTTCAAACCCTTTTCCTGAATGGAAGGTGCCATGCTTGGGTTTTATGGCCTTCTAATGTTAGACAGTAATCTCATTTAGCATTTTCCCAAAGTGAAAACAGTGCATTAGGGCAGTATAACAAGCATTGAAGATCAATACAGAGACAGAGCTTTGCCCTTACAGATTAATCCAAGCAGAATATACCAGAGTCTAGTCCAGGAACTGGAAGATAATTACACTGCTTCCCATCCTCTCTTTCCCCCATTCTGCCATCTAATCATCAATACAGGCTGACATGTATACAGAAAGGATTTCGGAAAATGTCTAATTTGCATGTGCACGCACACACACACACTCTCACACAGTCCTAACTACCATACAGGAAATCAAGGGCCCTGGAAGTGAGTAGTATTGATTTCTGGTGATAGAAGTATGTTTTGACACCTTGCAAATCATAAATAACTCATGGACTTTAACTTGCAGGACTAATAGCTAAACCCAAGATAAATGCTTACTTACACCTTAAATAACCCCATTCTAAGGAGCCCATAGTATTTGATGAATGAATCCTATTGTGAGTAGTCTTTTTAGAAGGGGAAACAACTCTAGCATCGTCCTGTGATGAGCAGTATGTGGCAGCTCATTCTTTTCAGTCTTTTACTGCATGTTAATGGGGAGGGGCAGCCTATCTGGTCGGGTGCTTCTAGCCTTCTCTCCCATCTCTTCTCCTGCTTTAAATCCAAGGTATATGGAGGGATGTTGGTCCTCAACACTGGGATAGAATGTAACCCTGCTTGCTCTTCAGCTGTTAGAAGCATTAGTCGTACACATGCTTGTCTCAGCTCACCTGATGCTTAATCCTGTTTTATTATTTGTTCAGATGTGTGTCTTGCTATATTCAGTCAGTCGTGTCTGTGCTTCTACCCTTTGAAGCACAGCTGACTCCTTTTAGATACTGATGTTCATGGTAGGGGATTAGGGAAATCCGTGTCCAGAGACATTCATAGACATCTGAACTTGAGAATCTTAAAGCTAAGATGGGATTGGACTTAAATTCTGTTCTTGGGTATTTGGCAAAACAGTAAGGTAATGAATGGAAAAGTACAATGTTATCTCTCTGTCTTCTTTTTCAGAGGGTAGTAAGAAGTATATTCCCTTAGGGACCAGTAACGTGGTTTGCATTTCAGTTTTCTATTCTATCTATCTATATATATATATATAAGCTTAGTGTTGGATAAAAGTAATGAGGAGACAAATCTTCACCCAGGGGTTTCCTTATTGATGAGAAATATTTCTCCTGTGTTCTCTAGGGGTATTTTAGAACCCATCAAATTTAAAATAATGCTATTTTCAAGATTACTATGGAAATAACAGATTTAAATTTCAAGAAAAGAACTGGTAAGAAAGGCTAGAACTTTTTGTATTAAACAAAACTGATTTTTAAAAAGAGGCTCCCTAGATTAAAGTGATAATAATATATATATTTTTCTGTGTGTTTATTCCTTATAATCCAAGTTCCTCTACCATTATTACAAGAGTATTTCAGTTTTGTTTGTATAATCCATTTGGTATATTTTATTATTACCATTTTTCAAGTGTATATTGTCAGCTTTTTGGAAGCATTTATGTTAGTACTGCATATTCACTGAAAGCACTCTAAAGTCTTGAGGTTTGTAAGTGTAATTAGTAAAATTTTAGCTCAGGAAATGAAAAAAAATTTCTGTCTACTCATTTGTATTCTGAACAATTTATTGCATGCCTTCTATAAGAGGGATCCATTCAATAGCTGAGATCACAGAGAAACTAAGATGCAGGCAGTCTCTACCTGGGTTTTGCATGCTAGTAAACCACAGCCGACTGTAGTACAGTCAGTGTTAAGTACACAGTGAAAGAAGTTAATACAGGCGGCAGGGTCATCATAAAGGGAATGATAGACTCTATTGTGGATGGAGAGAGCTAGTGAAAGCCATATAGAGGTTATACTTCAGTACTTAGCTCAAGTGTTTGAAGATGGGTAGGTGTTTTCCTAGAGAAGAAAAAGGCAACCGACTCCAGTATTCTTGCCTAGAGAATCCCATGGACAGAAGAGCCTGGCAGGCTACAGTCCATGGGATCATTAGAGTCGGACTTGACTTGGCAACTAAACTAGGTGTTTTCCAGATGCGTAGAAAAGGGTGAGGCTTGGGTGCAGAGCATTTCCAAAATCAAGAGCAGTGGAGCAAAGATATGGAGGGATGTGGAAGAACCAGACCCTGAATGTGGTCTGGTCAGGCTGCAGCTCGTATGGGGTGGGGACTGAGGCAAAAAAGTAGGCAGGACCCTGGTCCCAAAGGACCTGCCTGTTGACCATGTATTTCATTTGGAAAGCAGATGCTGTCTAGACTTCCTGTGAGAAGGAACCTTTTGGGAGGGTAGGAGTGGAGGGTGAAAGCTAAGAGACACAGAGACCAAAGATTCATGGCTTGCATCCAGGATATAAATGATTAAGAATCAATGTAACAACAGTGAGTATGGAGAAAGGACTGGACTGCAGGATCTCCAGCTCTGTGACCCACCGGAGGTGGGAGCGGAAGAGAACATCAGGCTCCCAGGTTGCTGACCCGGCTGCCTGGGCTGCAGAGTAACTGGCCCCATTCACATGGTCACATTTTGGGTTGGGTAGGAGTGCTGCTCTGTCCAGAGAGATTCATGGGGGTGTCAGTTAATAGAATGAGTTTCATGATAGTCACTTATCTTGTGGAATATCTTTCTTAAAAGGTCAAAGAAAATTATTTCTCTTAAAGTTTTTTTTAATTATTATTTTTCCATTTGCAACATTTATATATTGACGCTTTATGTATTTTTTAGCTTTGATCTTCATTCAGGTTGAAGCCCACTTGTCTCAGTGGTGCCTTTTTTTGTTTCCAGGCGGTATGAGTATCACCCCGTCTGTGCTGATCTGCAGGCCCAGATTCTCCAGTGTTACCGCCAGAACACCCAGCAGACCCTCAGCTGCTCAGCTCTGGCCAGCCAGTACATGCGCTGCGTCAATCAGGCCAAACAGGTGGGTGTACGAACCAAGCTTCCGGGGGCACAGGAGGAGTAGAAAGACTGCCATCCAGGGCACTGGGGAGGCCTTGGTAGGTTAGCGTGTGTGACAAGCTCTGTGCGGTCACGAGTTGATTAAGCTTTCATCCAGGTGGTGGTAGGAAGAGTCCGTAGTCTCCTTGTGTTCCACCTCCAGAAAGAAAAAAGATTTTACTTAAACAACACTTTTTCTAGTTGCCCTGAACTTTTGTCCTCGACACTGTAATTGTGTGCTCAAGGTCACTGCCCCATATTCTGGGCCAGTCCTCAAAGCCAGCAAAGAAGAAGGATACACATTAAGAGGCCAACAGCGTCAAGTCCATGAACATGTAGTGCTCATGCCGAGGGCCTGGTTTAAAAGCAAAAGGCAGACACAGAATGGGAACAACCCCTCCGCACTGCCCGCCCCCCACACGCAAGCACCTCTCGGTCTTCTGCCAGTTGGTAGAGCCCACTCAGTTGGGCGGGGAAAGAGAGGCCAGAGATGGACTTAGGAAGCAGTTCCCGTTGCTTCTGTGTACCATAGCCACATTCTTCTTCTGATCTTTCAGAGCAGAATAATGGATGATCACAGGACGTGTGTTCTCCCTAATTTATGTACTTTAGAAAGGCAATGATAAACCCTGAAGCAAATTAACAATTCTGGCAGGTCACATAATTGCCTATCATTTAACTGATTTAACAGTTGGATATAGGTGGTTCTGAGAGACGAAAATTGTTGGAAACCGTGGTTCTTTCTGCTGACAAACTCCCTAGAGTTGACCTTGTAACCCAACTAAATCTAGTGTTTGAGTTGCACAGCATGCCTTCCTGCAGTCTGATTTGATGTAGCTATAATAATGCCAGTTAGTATAAATTTCTAACATGCTGGAAATATGTGAGGGTCAGTATTGTCTGGATAGCTGGAAAATAACAGCAAAACTAGTGGAAAAAACTGGAACCAAGATTTATTAAAAGCCTGTGTTGTCTTTAAAGACCTTGTGGCTTGAGGCTTTTATAAACTGTTTCACTTCTGTGGCACTTGTCTGACTCTCCATAGTGTTCCTTTCTTTCAAGGTTTTTAGTAGAAGTAATGTTGCCAGTGTTAAGTTAGTTCATTTTATTTATCAAAAATAGCTTCTGATATGCTCTTAACAATCTCCAACCATCTATATCAATACTGACTAAAGCACATGGAACCTGTAAGTTGGATTCATGGATTTTTCTAGCTTGATGTAGGTGCTGTATTAAGGTGAGGGTAGTAGTCAGTGCACAGAACGGCGGGGACGCAGTGTGTGTTTCAGCACCGGCGTCTTGTAACACAGGTGCCCGTGTCCACAATGTGATCTGTAGCATCACTGAAGCAGCGCCTGCAATGGCATCCAGAGTATTGACTCTGTCCTGATTGTCTGGGTTGTGTTGAACTGTCTGTACACCACCTGGTGAGATCAGTAGCCTACATTCATAGAGTAAAACAAAAGTAACTTGTGACAAATCAAATGTACCACGTGGCACAGCAGAGAGTTTGAACTGGGCAGATCTGGGTTTGTATCCAAGCCCTGTTTTTTACCAGCTCTGTAGCCCTGAGCCTTGTGAAGTGAGGTCCTATCATTTACAGTGTTGTGAGGATTCCATTTCTATAGAATATTCAGCGAGTCTGAATTTTTTCCCTTCTTGCCTCAATTGTGCCAAAACCAACTTAGACAAATTGGCCAAAACAGCAAATCACTACTAGTGATTCCCAAGGGGACCTCCAGTCCTCCCTACCCCCTCTCATCTGCAGTCTAATAAAATGCTATTTTCAGTGAGTGTGTTTCTGGTGCCTATTGTTTTTGCAGCTGTTATATTCAAGTATTAGAAGTGGCATATATAACACTAGGTAGTATTAAAATGATACATCCACAAAACCTTTTAAACCTAAGATGAGCGGCATTGAAATGGGAAGTAACCAGGAAACAGTAACACCCTGTATGTCTATAGATTCAGACTTCAAGGTCATTTCACATCCATCCTCTTATTTGTTTTTTTATGACAACTTGAGATGTAAATAGAGATGGTTTTATTTTCACCATTTTACAGTTGAGAGAATTGAGACCCAGGGAAGTCATGATGGTAAATTTAACAACTAGACCAAGATAGAGCTTGCCATAAAACAACAAATTTAAAAATAAATAGTGTTTGGCTTTTGAGTTGGGTGTGTGAAGAGACATCCAGTATCTCCGAACTCAGAAATAAAGTGGTGAGGGAAGGACAATAACGATGGAAGTGAAAGGGGAAAACCTGAAGATTGAATGAAGTCATCTTTGAGACGGAAAGCAACAAATAGAGAGGGGTGGGATTATGAAGACTAAGACCAAAGGTGCAGTTTTGCGCTGTCCTGTTTTAAGACCATGCCAGAATGGCCAGTGGGGGCTACATCAGTATTTTCTGAGCAGTCACTTTTCCACTAACACCATGTTTTCCGTGTGTGTGAAGTTAGCCTAACTTTGTGACCCCAGTTCTGCCCTTGTCGTTAGAGACTTTGGGCAGGTTACATGGTCCTGATCCTTCATTTGTTGTTACAGTTCCTGACCAGTCAACACCCCTTCTTATGTTTCCTTGTTAACTCCAAAGAACAAGTTGAACATGCTAAGATACTAAACATAACAGCAACCCATTAGGTCATGTTGTCCATTTCCTGCTCAGTACAAGAGTTTTCCCCTTGGAATACTTCCAGTAGTCAAATCCACTCTACTTTTAAATGACTCATAAGATTGGGCTTTCACTGGTTCCCTTGGGGCATTGTTCTCTAGACTAATAGATTTCACTGATAAGAAAATTTCCGGATATTCCTTAGCCTTACTTTTCGTTTCTTATTCATCCATTTAATTCGCATCAGTCTTTCTTTAGCTAGTTTTAAACAATTCCTCATGGTCAACACGAGACATTTTAGACCATTACTTCCAATGTATTAAGTTATATTTTCTTCATAATGGTAAAGAGATATTAAATTGCTATAATTATTACTCCTAAGACTTAAAAGCTACTGGCTAGCTTTATGAGATACAGCATTTAAAAATATAGGTGGACATTGATTGATAGACTTATGTGTCTTTAATTTCTCTTATCTGCTTAGCTTCATAGCTTTTTTTTTTTTTTTTAAGCCTTATAGCCTTCTATAAACTCTTCAAGATTGAATTACCTGTTCTTACCGGCAAAGCCTGATTCACATTCAGTCTTGCTTTCATGTACCTTACAGGAGAATGGGAGGGAAGGAGCAGTGGGAAGCCAATAGTACTGGCCCACTAGTGGGCCAAAATGTGCCCAAGTTCTGCTTACAAAGGGGATGTGTAGAAAGAGCCTGCTCCCAAGTTCTGCACTGCCCTGCTCCCTGGGACCCCCTTCACTGCCCCTCAGTTTATTTGCAGAATGTAGCTGCTTTGCAGGTAGCATTTCTAAGTTTTCCAGCTCTTTTCCCAGCCCTGCTGCTATTAACAGAAAGGTACAGAAGCTGGCTAGATTCTTGAACATCCTGTGCTCGCTGGAGCGGGGAGTTTATGGGGACTGCTGGAACACTCCAATCTAGTCACAGTGACCTGGGCTTCAGTTTCTCCTTCAGTAAATTAAGGATTTGAACTCAGTGATCCACAGAGGCCTCGTAGCTGTTATGTATTCCATGTCTGAGAGCAAGCGGCAGACCGCACAAGTGCCCAGGTTCCTGAGCCCCTTCACAGTAAGAGACATGAGCTTTTTGGAACAAGCAGTGTCTCTGCTTTGGTGACCTCCAGCGTTTGTGCCTCTACTTCTTAGATTTTGCTGTCAGCCTTGAGCTTCCCCCTCTGGAAGGAGAGCCACGCTTCTGATTGGTCTGCGTGTTGCCTGATCCTTCATTAAAGCAGGTACTCCTAGCAGCCCCAAGGAAGCCAGGGTGGCAGAATGAACTGGGAGGGGGCGAAAAGAGTCTCACAGTTTCTCCAAAGTCAGTGGAATGAACAGTAGTGCTCTCAGCGCTGCGTGGCAGAATGGAGCCCCCGGACTAGTAAGCTGAATTGGAGAAAGCAGGCCACATCCCTCAGCCGGCTCCAGGCTTCTCTGTCCTGGGCTGGCTTCCACCCTGTGCCCCACAGACCATGGGTGGTAAGGGATTATGGAAATAGAGCAGGAAGCCGGCTCAGGAGAGCCAAGGAAAGACCAGACTCGAAATAAAGGCCAGACCCAGGAGAGGCCCATGGGACACAGGTGAGCAAGAAGGCTGGAGTCGGATGGTGGAGGCTAAACAGAACTCCTGAACTGGAGCCAAGGTTTAAATCAACAAGTGGGTAGTGGGGCAGTGACCAGGCTTGCAGCTCAGCTACAGGAAGGACTGAAATGAGGACATCTTATCAGTGAGTCAGCCCTGCCCTCACTTAGGCCTGTATGCTCAGCCCTGCCCTCATTTAGGCCTGTGTGCTTCTGCTGACCTCTTTGAGGAGATCAAAAGGTTATTTGACCCAATAAATGATCCTAATATGAAGTGACTCCTTTCCAAGACTGGTGTACCTGATTCTCTGTTTTGAAAACATAAGCAACCACCTCCTGGTGGTTGTCCTCCAAGATCAGTGCCTGTAGAGGAATTTGCCATGGTGTTCTTGAGAACAGTGTATTTTATCTCCCCTTGTGCTTGGATTTACACTAGATCAGGGATCGAGGACATACATGCCTGTTATTTGAGTAGGAAGAGCACCTGAAAGGTAGCTTTCACTTTAGAAATCAGAATTCTTGAAAGAAAAGCCTAGTGTTCAGAGCAAGCTGTGTTTTATCGTTGTTTTAAGATGAGCTATAAATTATATGCAAATGGTTTCATAGACTCAAGCTGTTAGAGCTCGAAGGACATAGAAATCACATAACCTAATCACATCTCTTCACTTAGAAAAATTAGCACCCCAAGAGTTTCAGGGATCTGTAGATGGGGCAGAGTCCACACCAGAATGGCTTGATGCCAGACTCAGTACGCTGTTCCCTGCAATGTCAGATTACTGA